TTCCGCTGTGACGTTCAACACGTGCCACTAGGCAATAACTCTTCTGCGTGTCACGCTTAGTACATTACTCGTATCAAGTCAACACTTACAAAAAAAACTGACGCCCAGTCGTCCAGGTCCAATCGAAATTTAGAATCACGCGAAGCAAAGAGATCCACGGTAGTTTAACTTGCGGCCGATTCGAATTTAACTACTAGATTAAAAGCGGACAAAAGCTCAATGTTGGACTCTCTGTGCGTGAGTTATACAGGTTTTACTTTCTTCTTCACAGAAACTATTATTGGAGATAGACTAGCCCAACAGGCTATCGCAAGTGCTAGCTGCAGCCACCCCGTCTTCCGGGCTCTTTGACCGAGGAGCCAAAAGAGTACGAATTGAATAAGTCCCTTATAACTGTTCAATCTAGCACTATTGTTATGGTCTGGGCTAGAGCCCAACCTATGTGGTAGTGATCGCGGCGACCGAGGGATCCTGTATAGTGCTAGATTGAACAGTCATGAGGGACTTGACTTGTTCAATTCGTACCAGACCCTTTTGGCCTAACGGTGTTACGACCCAGCCGCAGGCTGCAGTGCAGGTACGAACCGTCCCGCGGTGGTCATCACCGGCGGAAGAACCCCGGTAGAACTGGGCGTGTAAGTGATCGAGGCGCTCGAAGCTCGATCACTTCGACCAGTGGTCCAGTACAATAATCGAGAGAATCGAGACGCAATTCTCTTGATTGGCATCACACGACGGACCCTATAGGCACTATACTTTTCTTTCTCCGTAGATAGACTCTAGCTCCTTAGTCTTCAACACAGACCATTATAAGGACCTAAGCTTCGCTTATTACAATTTGACTCTGATCACCGGATTACGACCTATTATCCATGTAACATCCAACCGCTCAGAATAACAGCCCTAGTAGCTCTGCCAACATAAAATACGACTAATTTATCTCTTGGGAACCTAAGCCGTTAGAAGATAGCTTTAATTAAGGACCTTTTCCACGCTCGATGTGCCTCATAGCTCCAATCGCGATATTATCGGACAGTTCTATGCATCTATCTACATTTCGTCTATCCACTGGGTAGTCAGGTAGGTAGATAGATGACCCAAATGACCTCTTAGTAGATAGATAGATATATATTTATATCTATCTACATTTCATCTACATCGGTAGATAGATTCCCCACACTGATTCTTTCTCTACGATGCTGCACGAAAACTACAAGCTGTGAGGAGGTAATGCCTATGACCCGGACGAACAGGATAATTGATTAAAAGAGCTCAACATCGCAAGCCGTCGTCCCATGAAGTTGCTTCTCAAATTCCTTTCCAAAAATCCTGCCAACGCCAAGTCGCTCGTATCTTCGCCCGTGTGTTTCCCTCACAAAGAGAACGTTGAATACTCTATGCCAAAGAGTGAGATAACCGAGACCATAGCCACCAGGAACCCTAGGGGCTGTCGAAATGTGTAGAACGCACATCTCGCGCCCTCCCTCAAATAATGAGTCGACTTGGTAGTCAATGTCTTCAATCGAAGCCCAGCCAGATATCTCGGTGGGCCGGAGAGTAGAGGAAACGGCTCTCCAGGCAGACTTATTCGACTTTTTGTGATGGCCTGACGTTGCAGAGATAATTTCAGCATCAAGTACATTATGCAAGCGACCTCGTACTAAGACCTGCATAATCTTGGCCCTCATGTGAAGAGACACGAAACAGTTATCAATATCAAACAGTTTCGGAGGGGAGTATATGAGGTCCTCAGTCGAATTCCTCAGTAATTCCATGGAGAAGGTGCCGCCTTCAGATGTTCCCAATGCAATCAATTCGGCTTCAGGTTTGACACGAGACTTACGCTCTCCGTCCAACAGCACAGCATGTAACTTAGACGCCCAAGACCGAGGCTTTTGTCTCTCGTCCCACTCCACAGCACATAAAACGGATGTCCAAGACCAACTTGGGAAACCAGGGATGCGTTGAACCTTGCTACCGGAAAATTGACATTCCCATAGTAAGCCATGATGCAAGTCAGGTAACCAAAGTCCCGAGACGAACTCCAGGCCGGATCGCACCGTCGAGGCTATATTGTTTCGTCTCAGTCCTTTCCTCATCAAAGCTGTCTTAAATTCTTTGGAAATACCCGAGAGGGCCACGACACGGTCCGTTTCTGGCTTCGTCAAGGACAAAGCTGAATAGGCCGCAATTATGCGATACCAAACGGGGTCAATGCCAGTGTCGTCCAATGAAAAAGACTGCTTTACCGCCGGCTGATTATCTGCCAGTTTATCGTCTGAAGACCGTGTTTGAGAGACTTCACCACGGTCATTGTGAGGTCGCTGTTCTGCACATTCCCAAAAGATCCCTGCTGGTGTGAAATACACTATCCTTCGACTGAGAAGCCATTCCTGAAAGACCCATCCTCGGGAAAGAAGTTCGCTGTCCTGGATAAAAGAGATATATTGCTTATCTACTTCCCAGTTGTATGAGTAGATGTAGAAGTGGCCATGGCGGCAGCCATCTTTATCAGAGTACGGAAGACGTGCAATTCGAGGGGTATTGGATATTCTTGGAGGAAACAGGCCTAGCTCCTCTGTTGCAGACGTAGCGGCAACTGTAAACAGGGAGTACTGGTAATAGCCAGCCATTTTGGTAGCCTCTCGTTGCCAATCCGCACCTTCATCTCCTCTCTGAATAATGCACAAGGAGTCAATCCAGACATATCTGACGTCAAGGCGGCGGGCGAGTTCTAGTACGTCGAGAAATACTTTTGGAAGTCTCCTCCACCAGGTGCTGTCTTTCCGTTTCCTACGATTGATATTCGCAACTGTCGTGGAATAATGTGCCGTCGCTAACGTCCACCGGTGAGAGATGGTAAGGTACTTGCCCAATTTGGAGCTTGTCTCTGTCAGCCAAAACCCTCTGTCTCCCACTTCCACGCACCTTGTTGGTAAAGGCGCTTTTTGAGCATCGATAACTCGTTTGCCAGACATCGTCCGGCAGCACTTGGGATGTGCGAGACAGATCTTCAGCCAATTTTTCATCATATTTACAGAGTCTTCTGACTGGACATTACCGCCTATGTACCGTCCCCGAATATCTCCGCTCCTGGCAGCTTGGCTATCTGAAAGAGTAATGATGTGTTTATATTAGTTCTGGTAGTCCTCCAGATATCGAATACTCTGTCTCACTTACTTGGATCCGCGGCGACATGAAACTCCAGTAACGGATATGTGCCATGAGGTAATTTCGGCCCGTGGAACTCGTTAACGTCTTCAGGAGCTAGAGCTGCCTTCATTGTGTGTATTCCAAGTCCAGACCCGCAGCTCTCAATGTCTTGTGGCGGTGGGCCGCTGTTCACTCCCAGACTAAGATGAATCCACCAGCTTTGTTCCCAATTGGGGGTAAGCCGTCGTGGTGAAGCCCGCAGTTTGGCTTTGAAGGCACCGACTAGTAGAGAGCAAAATGTACATCCCCTAGAAGCAGCCAGCTCCACGTTGCAGAATTTATATCCTCGAAGGCCGTAAGGGTCTTTGTTGAAGCTATACAGGTCGAAGTTGTTGCACGTGTTGCAGGGATCCCCAAACCTTAATTGCCCCATGGCGTTCATGGGATATCCAGATTCCGTCGAGTCTTGGTCCATCGCTGCGTTGCAATAATAAAACGGAAATAATCAAGCTATCATAAAGCTCTCTATTTTTCAGATGAGATTCGTGGGTAACAAGTCATAGCACAACACCAACCCCTCCCGTCTAAGCCTCCTCAGCCCAAGGCGAGGCTGCTTGAACGGCTGACTGAAGACTCTGCTCTGGTCCAAAATAGGCAGTTGATCGTCGTTCTTCTGTCAATGCTCACCTTCACAAATCTATTTGAAAGCTGTACCTTCCCAGGAAACCATTTGTCCGATGAGGTTCACTACCACGTACGAGTGAGCTTGCAACGCTTCAACTCCAAAACGTGTGAGTTGCCAAAGAACAAGACAAAATTTCACCTATGGCTAGCTTTCGCCGTAGTTGCGCAACCAAGCTGAAGGGGCTGAGAAAGTTAAATGAATCAGTTCGTCGCTACGCTCGCTGGATAGTCTTCGTTCGAATCCCGTTTGCCTTTTTTAATGTCGCATTTAGCGGTAAAGATGCGACGGAAGAGGCACATCGTCTACAACTAGCCTTTCATTGGGTGGCTTTGTTACTCAGTATCATAGATTGGGTCCCGTACTTCCTCTATACTGTCCATAGGTGGCCACACCTAAGGGGACTGCGGCACTGGCTGATGATGCAACTGTTCTGGGCAACTCCCGCAACAGCCATCGGCTCAATCTCGTTCCATGTCGCATGGGTGTTGGCGACGGCAGATCGATCGGGGCCTGGTGCATCCTTGTGGCTCCTGGGATGCACCGCTGCTGAGCAATTATTGATTATGTTGGGGTGGTTATACTACACATTCCTTCCTGGGATCAGATCGCGAGCGCCATATGAACCTGTATTGAATGTCATCAATCTCGTCCACGTCCCAATTGATACTGAGGTGGATAACACAGATCTTTCACAAGGCAGAGGTCAACTAGAGAGACTCTATCGGTCGCAACAATCCTCTGAAAATAATGATCAGCAATCTTTCAATTATGTTATCGAAGAAAGAACAGAGCCGGTCCCGGAACATGTGGATACCGTCATACCAGTAAGAGAACACTCAGAAAGTACAGTTCGTAATAGTGTTGTTAACATATGCTTGGGAAGACAGCTCAAACGAACACGGCGCATCTGAGCCCTACTCTTGTCTTCTGGAATACGAAGCTGAAGCCCAAAACAGTCGCATTCAATCTGACTTTTCTGGGAATAGTCTCTATAGTTCATATTTATGTTCAAGTGTCTCAGTATCGTGAAGCCAGAAATTCCAGTGAACCTTTCGAAGTGTGAGTTGAGTTGACCGACATCGAGCTAGAAGTTGTCAAGTGAGTTGTTACTAACAAAGAGAGTTTCTCCCCCAGGTCTTACGTCTTGCATCTCTTGGTTCCTCCTCTGTGGTTGGGCTTCATTATTACAACATGCATTCTTGTCAAAATGAGAGTGTCTTTTCAAAAGCAACTGATCGGCCCGGTTACCCCTGCTATCCTTATGTGCGCCTTATTCTTCGTAATTTTGGCATTGTGGATCGTGGACTATGCAAAACCATCATCTTTAAGAAACAGTTTATTTGTAGATCAGCTTGTATATATTGTGGTTAATGTGCTTACTATACTCTCTATGTCGGTGCTGTTTGTTATAGGTTGCATAGCCGTAAAGTGGCTCTATGGAATGCGCACTGGCTAAACTATCGCAAAACGGGGGTAGAGCAAGCACAGGGCCATCGCAAATAGTGTTGCTAATAACTTGTTAACGGTATTTTTATTTGATCTAAATATGAAATTAGGACGTCTTGGGGAGGTGTCGCGGTCGTCCTGGATTCTAATGACGACCCCAACAAGGCGCGGGTAGATCCAGAAAGGATCCGCCAGTTCATCTTAGACAAGTCGTGATGGTGCTGTGATAGTATCCCCCCTCTAAACACCATTCCGTCCTCGAATGGTTCTAAACAACATTTCTCTACCACCTCTTCTGTTTCGTCATCCCGCTCGAGGATGCGGCCGCGGATGTTCCGGGACTCGTTTTCATTAATCTCACTCTGGCCAGGGAGCCCTACGTGGTTCCCGTCTTCGTCTACAGAGACTGGTCGCAAAAGTGAGTTGTGGAACACTGGAAATATGCGGATGCGGTCGGGTCACGTCGGCTACGCATCCTCCTGATGTGTTTGCTCTGCTCAAGGTCGTTGTAGACGTCCTGGCACAGCTTTTTCCATCCAGGCCAGTCGTCATTCCCAGGTTTACCGCTACGGTGCATAACTTCGTCGATAACCTCGTTGGATACCTTGAGTTGGAGGGCTTCAACCTTCTGCTTATCAGTCTTGCCAGCGAGGGTTGCAAGCTTATTGAACTCGGCAAGGAAGACCCTGCTACCCCGGAACAGGCAAGACCAGAATAGTCAACTCCGAGCACCGGCCAACATGCCTGAACAATGCACCGTCCAACAGGCGATAATGTATGTTGGCTCCCGTCATTTATTTCACACCGATATGAGTCATAGGCCTGTGTAAGCGGGCATTTGACCTGCATGATTCCAGGTGCCTTTTTCCCAGTTGAGCCAAGAGTGCTGCCTTAACTGTTGGTTATGGGAATTGTATATGGTGCCGACTTTCCGAGAGAACCGTCCGTCTGTCGGACGCAGAGAAATGCATCAATTCATCCCTACACCGAGTCCTCTAGCTTTCCTCTAAATGTCTATAGCCTCTGTCTTCTGTTCCTTCCCTTCATTTGCAACGTACCCGTCGCATCATCAACTATTCTATTCTTCCAGCAGGTTCATGTGAGTGTGGAAACTCACTCTACACGGACTCGGTGCTCTAAATTTCAGCCTTCTCATTCTCTCTGCATGACAATGGTGTCTCCCGGTTTCTGCCTCCCAAAGCTGGGTAGACCATTCACTTCTTTTGGCCACAAGGCCAATTATGCCAGTTCCAAGAACACCCAATGTCGCCACAGCGAAACATTTCAACTAATCGTGGTCTTGGGACTCAACTTGGTGGTTTCGCTGATGTACTTTGTATTGTTCGGCTATGGCATTCATAATATGCTATCTCATCGTCATGAGGCCGGCCTCATCTATTGTGAGCAAAACCTTTCCACAAATTTTGCACCGTTCCATGAACTAACCAATATATTTGTCCGTCTATAGCGCCTGCTAGGTCTGCGGTAACGTATGAGGCCAAGGTCGTCGATGATTCAGTCCCAGCAGCATTCGCAGGACCGCCAAGCTTAGAAACCGATGCCGCATGGCAAAGGTTGCTGAAATGTACGAGAAAAATATACATCAAACATGGTGAGTAGTGATCGTGCCAAGCTAACTATGAATAGATAACAATCTGGTTGTACAAAAGGAAGATCTGAATCAAGTCGACAGGTCTTCAGTCAGTCTGCGAGACGGATCAGGCTACTTGGCCAGTTTATCCGTCTACCATCAGCTCCATTGCCTCGTCAGTATTTTTAACAGTCTTTTCCAGATTAAAAGCCATGATTAATGTGGGTTTTTTTCTTTTAGAACTATATTCGACAATACGCCTTTCCTGATTACTACACGCGGGGAGACGGAAAGCTGGGTAGCAGCGTTCACATATGTAAGTGACCAAGTGGGTGATGCCTACAGCGCTGGTAACACATGTTCTAGATCATTGCATCGATACACTACGAAGAATTATCATGTGCCATGGGGATATCACTCCTCGTACTTTCGAATGGAGCGACTTGGAAAGACATCCCGTTATGAAACCTCGGTCGGTACACGAGTGTAGAAAATGGGAGCCAATAGAGACTTACGCTAAAAGCCACGTACCGTCTCGAGCCAATGGTCCAATTCTAGAAAATCCAGAATCAGGTTAGATTAATGACTAGTTCAGGTCACGTCATATGCTAATGGGCACTCTTGAAGGCCTAGTATTTTCGGACCCTGTGAATAAAACGCAGGCAATGTAGGAATATTTCCAACTATATATAGGGGTGTGTATAACAAGCTAGCCACGCCGCCATCTTAATAGAACAATCAAGCATAGAAGGCATAGGACCAGACCCTTCGAATACTTGTTGCCTCTGACTGTAGGTGTCTATTACCGCTAACACCGGTAACACCGCGTGGCCACTACATATGTAGTTCCAGCTCGCCGGCAAGTTCGGGACCCATCAATATTCGGTGGGGTCAAGACGCAGATCCTAATTACGGATGAGCGGAGAGACAGGGCCGGCCATCTTGACTGTATTAGTAAACCACGCCGGGTAGAATGTCATGGAGAGATGACGAGTCTATTTGCCTAGTATATATCACAAAGATCAGAACCTCGTCCTACTGTGCCGGCTATCATGCTACTTTGCATCTTTCCCTGTTGCGTCTATTCTTAGTCGCCATGCAGCTATCTAGACTCATCATCGCCGCCTCGATACCTGTCGTCATTGCGGACACTACGCCTGATTCTCACCCCATCGTCGATCTTGGCTATGTGAAATACAGGGGATCGTACAATGACACCTCGGGGCATGTACATCTTATACTCTCGGCATGTGGCGTCTGCTGACATGAATAGAATCAACGCCTGGCACGGGATACGTTATGCCGAACCTCCAGTCGGAAACCTTCGATGGCAAGCCCCACGGGATATTGACATCAACGGCACTGGTAGCAGGGGCCAAGTCATCGACGCGGTAGATCCGCCGTTGCCGTGTCCCCAAGGCTACCCTGGCTGGTGGTTCAACAGTACCGCCGGAGCTTCAACAGACATATCTAAGACTCCAACGAGCACCGAGGACTGTCTCAATCTTGACATTTTGGCCCCTGCGAAACCAGTCAACACTTCCCTTCCAGTCATAGTCCATATTCACGGTGGTGGTATGGTTATTCGGCCATTTGGTCTGTTCCCCACGCTTACTGATGGATAACACTGCCTCGTAGGATATACTCTTGGTTCATCTGCGTCGCTAGGTCCCGGCTACGAACAAGCCGGCAACTCATTAGTGTACCAGTCGAGCGGCGGCATCGTCTACGTCTCCATCCAATACCGGCTCGGTGCGTACGGATTTCTCGGCGGTGCAGAGGTGGCCGAGAAGGGTGTTGCCAATGCCGGTCTGCTCGATCAACGGGCAGCGCTCGGCTGGGTGCAACGTCATATCAGCAAATTCGGCGGCGACCCAGCAAAGGTGACCATCATGGGCGGCAGTGCCGGCGGAGGCTCAGTCACACATCAGTTGACTCTTCATGGCGGTGTCAGTAATCCGCCATTCCGTGGAGCAATAGCCGGTAGGTGGCATTTCTTGCACCCATCAAAACGGTGCCAATGTTCCTAAACCTCATACAGAATACCCTTGGCTGCAACCTTTGCACAGCCAGTCGACCATACAGCGGCAGTATGAGCTGCTCCTCACAGCGGCAGGATGCCCAGACATTCAGTGTCTACGCGCCATGCCCGAGTCAGATCTCGCCGTGGCCGCTCAAAAGACATACGACACGGGCTACGCTCTTCTTGAGTATGGCTTCGGTGACTTCTACTACGGACCCTATGTTGACGGCGACATCATCCGCGGCCTTCCCAGCCACGAGTTCAGCCAGGGCCATTTTGCAAAAGTGCCTCTTTTAACAAACCGCGAGGGCTATGAGGGTGTCATATTCTCGAACAGCAGTCAGACCACTTCGGCGGAACTCGTGACGGACCTCAAGACCTTGTTCCCGGGCGCGACGCAATCTTTTGTCAGTCGCCTGCTTCAGCTGTATCCGCGCGACGGCTTCAACTCGACGTTTTTCCAGCGCCAGCAAATCTTTGGCGATTTCATCATATCCTGCTTTTCGCAGTACATGGCGGCTGCTGTTTCAGACCACGGCGAGCCCGTGTACAAGATGATTTTTGATGCGGGCGGTGGGCTGCACGGTAGCTTGGTTCCTTTTACGGAAACTGTAAATCTAAATGGTAACAAGGCATCCGTTCCTTTTGCTGCAAAAATGTTGGGGGTTTGTGACTAAACTTGCGCGTTGATCTTAGGCACGTCGAATAACGCGACGCTTGCTTCGATTATACGAAGCTACTATATTTCGTTTGCCACGCAGCTCGATCCTAATGCGGTTTCATACACGGACAGCAATCGTCCACACTGGCCGACTTACCAGACTGGTGGGAATACTAACTTTACCGTATTGAGTATTACGGACTCTAGTATTGCAGCTGGAGAGGACCCGGACAACTCGGCTCAATGTGATTTTTTCCACGGACAGAGCTACGTAGTTAGAAATTAGCCGTCTATCTGGTGACACGGTTGGGTGTGAAGAGAGGTCTGGTGTTGTAGAGATGATGGTGTGTGCTTAAACTTAAAAGACAATTGCTAGGTTCAGGTTCGGGTTCTATGTCGCAAATATTGCATGATATTTGATAAGCCACATGAAACAACCGTGTTAGTAATTCACCACCTGTATCCAATACATGTTTACCTTGAGATACATTGTTGCCCGTTTTCAGCATGTGCAGCGGGACCCTTATACCTAAAAATAGACGATCTGGACCTATTGACTCTGACAAATCGTGTATTATAAATCAGCATGTCGTAGACCCTTCACTTTTATGCCTAACGCCCGGCCTCGACAGACCATAATTAAGTGGGCCATTATATGCGAGAAGGAATAAACAAAGTTGGGTGGCAATTTGATGAGTAGGAATGACTGGTCCGATATGCACAACGCAGGAGCAGCATTGTTGCGCCAACACGGGAGAAGCCAAGGAAGGGAGGGACAGGAATCTTGCTGAAAGCCGCAGCCCGAGGACACTTTACATCAAGCCGTTCGCACTCACTCAAGTCCATTCGTTAGCCAGAGGGACGGCGACTATGCAAGAGCTGTGGATGACGCCATTCAGTATTAACTTCTGAGCAGATGCCAATCACCTACGTGTGTCACGGACATGACCGATCGCTTCTCTGTTTCCGTCGCGTCTTCCTAGCTGGTGAGCGTTACTATACTCTTACAGGATATAAAATCCACTAGAGAGGTTGCCTTCAAGTTGAGGCGGCTCAACTCGTCCTGTCACGTTGTGAGGCTCATTGTTAACTGGGCTTGTCTCACAAATTCAACATTCTTCTGTCCTCTACTCCGTTACACAGCGAAAACTGGAGATATACAATACTTTGCCATTTGTCACGATGTAAGCCTTCTTGTCAACTGAGCTTTGTCACAAATTCATTCTTCTTTTGTTCTTGTTACTGTCTTGCCAGAAAGATCCGTCCATGTCATTTATCTTGGTGTACAAGGCTTCCCAGCCTTGCAAACTTCTCATGTCTATGATTTTATGACATGCAGCAAGTCAAGTCTGCTTGTTCCATCAACAGAGGCAGTCTTATCCTACATGCACGTGTGTGGCCGACAGAGCTAAATAATAGCCACACAGCGTGCATAGCAAAACAGTTCGGCGCGCGTATTCACTGCCATAACAAGATCCTCGCTTGAGTCATGAAAGCGCTCTTTTGTTGAATACACACGGGCTAAGCTCTTTATATATACCGACTCCAGCTAACTGAATCCCATAACGCGATCGACAGAAACGCCCCTATTTCAAATATGTCTTCATAAAATCCACAACCTCCTTGGTGGCAACATCAACGAATGGCAGACGGTCGTACAAGTCCATATGGGTGCAACCGGGAACAATGACCTTCCTAGTCGCGCCACCAACAAGCTTGTCCAGTTTATCCGTATGCCAAATGGAGCCGGCCTTTTCTCCCGCAATCAACAGCAGAGGTTGCGTCAAGTAAATGTCAGCGAGGTAGAAGGCATCAAACGTCATGACGCGCGGGACACTACGGAATAGCATCTTGTTGGCTGCTCTTGGATGCTGGCACCGAGGGCCAAGGTAGTAGTCATGAGCTTCCCTCAAGTCAAGGGGAGTCTTGTCATCAAGCTGCGGAGGGACATAGGGACAAGCTCCCAAATTGCCCGTCTTGTTCTCAGACTGCACCTGCTTCGCTATGTGCTCCAAGGTCTCGACCTTTTTGGCCGCGTCTTCGTCTCCATCCCAGCCCAGGCGGGTGGCGTCGCCGATATTTACCATGCTGATTGCGGCGACGGACTTGAGTCGGTGGTCGGCTTTGGCGGCAGCCACGGCGTAACCGCCACCAGCGCAAATGCCAAGAATACCCAGCTGCGATGGGTCAACAGTGTCGAGGGACTCGAGGTAATCGACAACGGCGAAGACATCGCTGACACGTTCGGCCGGATCTTCGAGAAAGTGTGGCTCGCCTTCACTTTCTCCCTGATAGGAAGCATCGTAGGCAATGGTCGTCAGGCCAGCCTCGGACAGCTTCTTGGCATACAAATGGGCAGTCTGCTCTTTGACTCCGCCTCCAGGATGGACAACGACAATGCCGGGGGTCTTGCTAGTAGTTGAGGGCTTGTATAGCAAGCCGGAGAGTTGAATGGATCCCTTCTTGATAGAGATGGCGGACATGGTTGTGTTTGAAGCTTACTGGCGTCTCTGTGCTCTGTGTCGAGGGAGATATTGCGGCATGCTAGAAAACCTTTAACCGCCTAGGTAGGTATTGCCATGGTATGGGGTTTATATAGAATGCCATACGTAGCACATGCCCGGCCGCGAGGAGCAGCTGTTAGCATTGCCCAGGTTCCACCCAAAGACACACAATTTATTACGCCCGGTAGAGACTACCTCGAAGGTCCACCGTAGATGTTTCAAGTCGTGGATTCAAAGGCTTCGCGTCCAGTTTACCAGATTTGGAATTTACGGACTTTGAGCGGAGTTAAAGCTTTGGAGCAGAAACGGTGGAGTCTTAACGGACATCACGGACTCAGCAGTTATTATGTCCAGATGTCCAGCTTTAGGAGTTACAGATGACTCGCTATCTGTAATCTCAAAGGCTACATATGTAAGCTCCTATGCGGCGGTAAGTTTTCCATGGTAATGACCTGATGCTGCGCTACTCAAGCTGTTGCCCCAAAAATAGGCGTGGCCACGCCACTTATATTTGTGTGTTAGTACCCCTTATATCTTGCTATAATATTGCAGAAGGAGTATTTATACACCTTATCTATCTTGGATGACTCTTTCTGTAGGTATAATATTACCTAGCTCTTATTTGAAACTTGAAAATATGTATACCGGTGAGTGAAATCCAGCGGTGAGATGTGATTAGGGTTAGGGTTGATTTGAAGGGTGATGGACCATTATCATCACGAAGCATTAGATAAGTCTCAATTCTGCGTCATCACTAGGTCTCTATTATAGATCCAGTCTGCACCCATCTGGTCTCAAGTGGTCTCCTGGGCGGGAGTCATGTTCCTGGGGTGAATCTGTGTGAGTCGGCGCAATTATGCTGCTTCTGCCGTGCCGGGGCGGTGACTGCCGGAAAGGCAGACGGACGGGAAGAAGTCTTGTCTATTTTTAGTTTCTAGTCGGTAGGAATGAACGCCGTCCAGTTCGCCTTGCAGCCTTTTCTGGGAATACAAAGGGCCTCGACCATGCCCCTCTCTCACCGATTGTATCACCGATGGCGATTGGTTGCCTTGTACATCAAACTCTGAAGAACCAACACACCCGCTGCCTGATGGCATTTCTGGAGCGCCACGAAGCAACGTAAGATGAGAAATTCCATCCAATATTGCCAAATATGAGGTGACCAGACGCCAACGGCGGCAAAGTTATCCGATGTCCGTTGCGGCTGGCGGTCGACGTATAAGATCCGAGCTGGATGAGTTGGCCATGGCTTTCATTCACGATGCTATACGACGTGACTGGTCGGAAATGATGCAGTGTCCACGGCTCATTTGCTTTGGAAACGGCCAGGCTGTGCCATCTCTTGTCCCTGGCGAGTGAGTTGCACAAGGACCAGAGTAGGTAAGCCGAGAGGAGGATTGTGCCTGATCACTGCCTTATCTATTGTAACCACTGACCCTCTGGCCTTAGTGCCACTGCTCTGCTCTGTTTGGCTCTTCCATGTAGGAATCAATCGGAGAAACAGAGACAGATTGACTTGACTTATGGCTCCTTTCACTTCTGCTCCCCTACACCATCTCTGACCACATGAAGCCGAAGTGATGCCACGTATCATCTGCATGAGGGGTTGTATACCGGTGTGCGGAGAGGCAAAAAGGTCAATGGCTAAGAGGCTTCTCAAGTGCAGCTCAGCCGCAGCAGCTAGGGTTATTATGCGATAAGCGGTTCAGCCTGGTGATACTGCGCAAATGGATGGTGGTTGGACAAAGAGGCGAGTCGAGAAGCATATAAATGAGCCTGTCCCCCGACTTGCCAACCCTCCAACGCTCACTTCTTCTCCTCTCTTCATCTTGAACATACACATACCAATATTGAACCTACCACTGCCTGCTATAGCCACAGTTCCGGCTGCGCAAGGAACATATAACTCACGCACAATAAATAAACGTGTTTTAAAATGCCTGTAAGTATTACATCTCGGGTGTTTTGGGCAAATATGCTTAGTAAAACCCTTACTAGAAACAATGTCTTGTCGGTATGCAAACCGATTACTGCGGCGCTGTCTGGACAATTGTGGCCATTCTAGCTGTCGCCGGCCTCAAACCGGGGTATCAGTTGGCGCTCGCAAATGAGTATGGGGAGGAGATTACAGTATCGCCTGAAGAGATAGGAGAAGTATTTTGATCACTCGAAGCAGTATATATATAAAATGGGCTCCGCTTACTCTCGCCCCCCGTCCAGGTCTGCCAGGCCAGAGACTTCAGTTACAAGCGAGATGAACGGTATCGAGCTCAGGAACTTGCGCGTCTTTTCTTATTTTGTTTTCTCTTCGTTTTGCAGCGCTGGTTCTGTCGCTAGAATCAGTTAGTTAGTTGTCAATACACCCGCTCGGGCGTTGGCTTATACAATAGGCCCACCAGACGCGTCGTCATGATATCTAGCTATATACCCAGGAGCATACATGTCTTGTCCGGGCACTTTGGCGCAGCTTGCAATATCTCGATTGCCCTCCTCGAGCCCTTGGTCGGACATGCGGACATTTCCGCGCCTTGCCGAGCGTACAAGGATTGCGTTCAAGTTGACTAATTGACCAAGCAATACAAAAATTTCCGGTAGCTTTTCATATATTAAACTCTTGAGGCTGTACAGCCGTGTCCAAATCATACTGTAGCAGGATTTCTCAAGATGGAAGATGCCTCAGGCCGTTTCACGTAACGAATCAATTCCGGAACAATATTTATTCCGATGCAAGTTTCTTTGTTGTCAGGCACGGCATATCAAACACCCCAGCGCGGCCACGCCCATTGTTTGGTATTTTGTATCTTCCAAACATCTCATCATCTCCCAACCGAACATCAAGTCGAGCACATCCTCCTAGCTCTACTCAAACATGGAGACAGTGAGCTACGTCATCTGGGCCTTGGTCATCATCTTTATACTCGGTCAGGTAAGTCCCTTTAATCTACAGCCTCACGAGTCACAACAGGCTGCACGCGCAGATGAGAAGCGCCAGGCAATGTCTCAGCCGCTCATTCATCACTTTGCCAACACTCATCAAATTGTCCGCGAGATGCAGCGCACTGACAGGTAGTCGACTCACAGGCCCTTTTTCGAGATCGCTCGCCTATCCCAGAAACGTCTGGCAACGTTTCTAAAATTAGCGAGCTTCCTGAGCTGGAGTCTCTCTTATCATCTACCACGTACGTCGTTGTCGACTTTTACGCCGACTGGTGTCCTCCCTGCCGCGCCATCGCTCCGCAGTTTTCCAAGCTGGCCGATGAATATTCGTCCAAGGGCCAGCTCGCTTTTGCCAAAGTCAACGTGGACCATTGTAAGGGTGCTGCCAAGCACCATAATGTTACCGCTATGCCGACCTTTTTATTTTTCAAAAATGGACAGCAGACGTCAGTTGTAGTGCAAAGCAGCAAGCACGGCACATCTGCAAAGATGCCCAAGGACGGCGTGGTTGAAAAAATTCAAGGCGCGGATGTAATGTTGCTGAGAAGTACGGTGCAGGCTTTGGCTGAGAATGCACAGCGCTAATTCATTAGCCTGCGTTTGTTTTCAGAGAGAGAGAGCAGCGGAAGCTTCCGGAGAACACTTTTCTGGATTTTTTTGTTAAAAGACGGATGTGGTATTGACCATCAAGGCCCTGGAGGCTCACGGGGCAGTAGTATTTCAGGTCACTGGTCTGTTTTTGTAGTCTGGCGCTGTTTGCACCTCAGTTGGGCAGTGAGGTTTGGCGGTATTGCATGCCACAGTCTCATTACATTAATAATTGCCATGCTTTTGTATTTTCCGATGCGTTGATTGCATTATTTATGCCTGACTACGGCGTTGTTGCGTCTTTCGGCTGACGGTGACACCTTCGTCTGGTTACCAGATTCAGTGAACACGGGTTAATTAGCCCCTGAATTGTGCTCACTATATTGCACCCTCGCCATGTTTATCGTCATTCTCTGCATGGAAATGTGCGAATCCTGTCAAGCCATGCCAACTGCGAAATCTTGATGACAACTGCAGATACGCTCCGTGGTATGAAAAGCGTAGCGGCTGCTCCCTCAACACAAAACGTCGTATCATTGACTATCTGAAGCTAAAGAAGGCAGGACGTAATGAGACCACGGGGCTCGCCTCGAGCTTGTTTATAAGGGTGGCTGGGAAACCGTTGACGATAAATGACTTGACCAAGGAAAACTAAAGCAACGCCTCGATATGTGGTTTACATGCATCAGACGAGATTGACGCACCAGACTCTTTCAGCTCTGCCCCTGACAACCTCAATGTAGCTAACTCTACCGCCGTTCACAGGCAACGACTGCACCTTTTGCTGTACACTCAGGTTCAAAAAGGTCTGGTGGGTCAAATAATCTATTATGGAGTCAACATGTGAGAGGACCGCCGGGAGACCGGCATGTCCTCGGCAATGGACTTCCGGAGCCGGGAGGTGCGGGGGCCCGGACTCGTGCCGGTTAAAACATGGTCGTGATGGGTCGTTAGACACGATAGCCTAGCGAACCGCCCATCTGTCATGGCGGACAGGCAGATACATCTTCATCTTTGGTGCCTTGCTGCCAAGACGGAACTTGACCTAGTAAAGAATACCAGCGGTACCATTCACGAATACTGTCAAATCGTTTCTGGAACTTGGTCGCCAAGACTTCCCATGTTGTGCCCCGGAAGATATAAGAATGCTCATCCAGCATTTTACGCACTCTCTCCTTTTCTTGAGGATTCACAGCAACCACCCAAGCAAGGCATAGACAGTTGCCGAGTAATGCGGTATTGAGCGGCTTGAACAGAGAGACTCTGTCTGCGGCCCTCAGCACCACTGACACAAAAGTGACAGCTTCTTCTAACAAGGCGCTATTCCTGGGATGTATGATCCGGAGTGCCATGTTTAATGCCATCGCCATTGTGAGAAGCCCAGAATTGCCAGCTTCTTGGCGTATATATTGTAGCGAAAGCAGTGAGTCCCGACTCGTTTTGACCTTGCGAAATACATCCGTCGCATTTTTTTCAAGAAGCGCCAAGTGGGTCGAAAGTTGTTGATAAGTCGTCGTAATATGGTCAAGATTCGAGATCGGGTCTTCTAAATAAGACGAAATTTGAATCAAATCGTGCCATTGTTGACTGCATCGAGCAGTCCCGACGTTGCAGGGTGCTGTAGCTACAAGACCAGACTGGCGCTTCTTCCCGTAGTGAAGACGAGGGTTGAATCTCATTGTAGGATCCATAATGCTTGAGACTATCTACTTCTGATTAGACTGCGGCTGCACTTCAGGTACTACCAGGGCTTGGGTTCGAAAGTATATTACCACAAGACGCCGTAAGTTCGAGACTACTTCGTTGTCGAAAGCATTGTCCAGCTCTTCATCGCCCAGCATATCCAAAAAGTATACTAATCCTCTTAAAAGAACTTCAAATTCTCGCCGATTGCTGCCGCGCACATTCTGTACAAATTTTAGCTTCAGTCCCCTCGTTATCGTCGGGGGCTGACAGACATGGGATGCCAGAAGAATTCCAATGGCACACATTGTGTCCACGATTTGGGTTTTGCCATGCACTGCCCCGACACTACTTATAAGCACGCGCAGGGCCTCCCCGTAGGGGACCAAGGGTTTTGACGAAATTGAACCAGTGTAAAAACTAAACACACTTGCAGTAAGGACTTTAGAAGCTGCAGTGAGCACCTTGTTGTGTTCCATCCTCTGAGGATAGTCTTTGAGACACTCTCCAAACGACAAGACGCTGTACGCTGGGTCAATAACGTTGAGAATATAGACGAGAGAGCCGGTTGCACTCGTTAATTCGTTGCTTGGCGGCCGCGATGGCTTGATCTCGGTGAAACATAGGCTCATGGGATTCTGATGGTTTGGCAGCATGTGATGAGTCACTAATGCATCGCAAGGCACTTGATGTGTTTTTGAAATGGGTGTCTTCTGTGCAGCATTGTAAACGTAACCATCACAGCGTTTTCCAGCCGAGATGCACTTTTTGCAAGCCGGTTTTGCCTCATCACACTTTATGTGGCGGGCTCTAGAACGAGTCAGCAATACTTTACAAGAGCCACGTACCAAAAAGTTGATGAAAGGCTTCACTGACCGACAGGTCTTACATCCGGTTTTCACTTTTGGGGCCCATCTTCTCTGTCGTGGGCTTCCTCTCCGCGATTGGAGAATAGGATTTGCTGCGCAACTTGCGCTTCCATTGTCCTTTTGCATGGTTTTCCCTGTTTCCGCTCTTCTCTTGATAGGTCTGGGAGAGGAGATCAAGGCTAGAAACAAAATATCTTGAGGTGGAATATCCCGATCGTGTTCAGTCCCAGCAGCGAAATTGACAAACAGCCGACAGCAGGGATCGTGGATCCTGCAAGGTTCCTTGAAGTCAAGACGGACCTTGCTGCCTAGTCGCATTGGGTAGGAGGAGTCTTGTGTAAAGGACATGGAACTTTTGGCGGTCAGATTATATTATGTCATAACTTATAAGCACAATCCCCCCCACGTTCCGCCTCACTTTTGAATCGCAGTCAATGCAGCTGGGATAAAATGGAGCTAGGGACGGACCTGTCCAATGGTCTATTTGGGGCCGTAGTTATTTTAAGAACAGTCTGGTACTCAACCTCTTCTTATCGACGTAAGACATAGTTATCCTGTCTAGTAATCTCCATACACAAGAACTGGCGGTGCAGAGCGTAAAGCTGCGAGTGACGTCGAGAATCAGATGCGAGAACCCAGGGCTACCCTATACCTGGTGCAACTAGCACGCTATCAAACTACCACAAGCAACGACATGTTGGAGTCAATCTGTGATATAGCTTGGCTGCCTTTGCTATTCTGGGGCTTTTGATTATTGCCTCGCCTATTGGTTATCCTTGCATTCTGCGGTGGTTTCTACATCGAACTCGATCAGGGCTATTAAGGTTAAGATCCCCCTTAGCACTGGGTATTCTAGGCATATAGCTAGAAAATCGGAGTACCACTCCAGGTAAGTGTTGAGGCTATTCCATCCCAGGCTTCTGCCTTTGGGGGCATGAAAACGAACTGGGCGACTACTTTGGCGACGAGTACATCTATTGGGAGCTGAACGTTAGGGTTAGGGTTATGTATGCACATGCACTCCACGATGATGCCTTGGCGGGGCAGCACCTCAACCACTTGGCCCGAGTGTCTTGATGAGCGCATATATGCTTATATAAGCCGATGCTAGCAGGAATCACGAGCAGTTGTTGAATTCAGGTCAACGCCGGCACCGGCATCTTCGTAAGGTCCGCCTGCCCGCAACCACGTTGAGTTCAAGTGCACCACCCACCATGACTTAGCGCAGCCATTCTGGTCTGCCTTACATGCACATCAATTGCTCCCGTTCGTCCGCCCGCCCGCCCGTTGGTCGTCTGTAATCATTTCTTCTTCCTCACGATTGTGTCTCTGTCTTTGTTTTCCGTCGTCGCGACAACACACCAGGTCCCCGTCGCCTCTTCCCCCAACGAAAACGACCCAACGATATTCCTCGCCCGTTTGCGCAGCGGCGTCGCGTGCCAGACTCTGCCGCTTCCAATTCGCCCGCCCGCCCGACTGCTTATTCAACCCTCCAATCGATCAATCGGCCCCCCGTAGAATCAAATGCAACTTAGAAGAGCCGCTAGAGTTATTCTTGTAGGCGCTCCCGGCGTCGGCAAGGGCACCCAGAGCGAACGACTGTTGGGGCGGTTCCCCCAACTCGCGTCCATCAGCACCGGCGACTTGCTCCGCAGCAATGTCAAGAACAGGACGCCTCTCGGTAAGCAACGCCCAGCACGCAAAACAAGCCCAGACACTCCCGTTAACGTCCGCACAGGCATCAAGGCCGAGAGCACCATGAAGGCCGGCGGCCTCGTCGCCGACGACCTCATGCTCCGCCTCATATCCAGCGAGCTCCGCAACCGCGGCTGGCTGCAGAGCCACGGACCTCCCGAGGTTATGACGCTCTCGTCCGAGGCCACCACCACCGCCGCAGAGATGCAAACCCGCGACAGCATGGCATTCGGCGCCTTTGCCGCCGGACGCCCCCCCTCGCCCGCGCAGGCCTCCGAGGACCCTGCGGCGTCCTTCATCCTCGACGGGTACCCCCGCAACGCCGCGCAGGCCGGCAGCCTCGAGGGCATCGTCCCCATCAACCTGGCCGTCTCGCTCAAGACCCCCTTCGAGGTCATCCTCGAGCGCATCGCCGGCCGCTGGGTCCACGAGCCCTCGGGCCGCGTCTACAACACGAGCTTCAACGCGCCCAGGGTCCCCGGCCGCGACGACGTCACCGGCGACCCCCTGACGCAGCGGCCCGACGACACCGAGCAGGTCTACCGCGCGCGCTTCCAAAAGTTCCAGGAGACCAGCGAGCCCCTGCTGGAGCACTACGCCAGCAAGGGGGTTCTCGTCGAGGTCGAGGGCATGAGCAGCGACGAGATCACACCCAAGCTCTACCAGGTCTTTGAACAGCGCTTCGTCATGTAAACGCGCCCACTAGATTCAACGCCACGTATCAAAGCGGAGACGTCTTGAAGCTTTTGTCCTTTCGAGTTCTTATTTACTAGCTACGTTTAATGTTTGGCGGAAAATGTGATTGCCGGGTTTCTACCCATGTTCTGAGCGGAGTAAGCGGGTTCAAAGTGCCCTGCTAGCCTACATGATGGGCAGTTTCATGTTGTGTTTTCTTCCTTTTCTTCTTCTTCTTTTTTTTTAATTTTGACCTTGGCGGACGGAAACAATTGCTATGGATTTGCAAGAGCTGCAGCCGTAGGGACGCAATGGTGGATGGGGAATTGCCGAGGAAAAGTAGCTCGGTTGGAGTATTGATCGGGCACCATGTACATACGGGTTGAAACCCAAATTCAGACCTCGGGCCTTTTGAGGAACTTTTGCCGTCTGGTGACGTGATGCTCGCTTTCACATGATTCTGGAAATGGCCCGGTTTTGCTCCACCCATGCATGGCGGGAAGATCCGGGGAATTGCGGTTTCCTACTTGGGGTATCTTGTCGGAAGACGATTTGGCGCGCAGTGCCTAAGTACTAGTATAAGTACATATAAACACATGGCGCTTGTGCATGATTTAGCGTGACAGAATGTCGAGCTTGGATGTGGAGGCCGTTGCAAACAGAATATATCCCAGCTACCTAAATACTCAACGAATCCCACAACTACCCAGGTACCTACAAAAGACCCCATTTCGCCTAAAGCTACATAATGTGTTCGTGCAGACTTTGAATCCTCGAAATAATGACCTGCAATTATCGGAAAAAGATATTATCGGCGGCCGCAACGCCGGTGAATTCTTTACTCTCGCCATTCGTCACCGCTGCGCATGCCGCTGGGCGTATTGCCCCCGTTGCTCCCCTTTGATGATCCGGCTGAGGGATGGGCCTCATCCTCGTCATCGTCCAGAGCCTTTGCTAGCTCATCCGGGTCATGCATTTTGGCATCCGGATCAACATGGCCCCCATCAAAGCCCTCTTCTTGGTCGTGGTGGCGGTCCGCATCGAATACGCCCTCATCCGCACTGACGGAGATGCCTCGGGCTCCCCAGCCAGGTCGAGCAGCGCGTCGGGCTCCGTTTCCTTCGCCGCCCAGTGCGGGAGTGCTCTCTTCATCATCAGCGGATTCCACGTGCTTGCCAAAGATGCGGCGGAGTAACCAGCCGCGGCGCATGTCGTCTGCGTCGACGATGCCGCCGCCGCGAAGCTTGACGCGCTGTCGGGTGTAGTATACCCATGCGAAGTCGATGTAGAGCGCTGTCTGGATGATGCCGAAGATGACGGCTACTGCCTCGGGCTTTCGGCCGGTTGTGTCGAACTCGCGGACGAACCAGTTGAGGATATACAGGGCCCTGTAGGACCCAAGGGCAAGCAGGTAGAAGGAGTTGATGACGGTTGGGACCGTGGTTTGCCGAAGCAGGAGAAGCTGGGGCAGAATACAGCCTGATTCGAGAATCTCGGAAAACACCCACATCCACTGCGTTGTAATGTTCAGCAATCTCTATATGTGATGGCGCAGGGGGATTTGCACGAACCGTTATAAAACCCCACTGGTCGTAGAAAATCATCATCATGAAGGGCGACAGGACTGCGGCAGCGGCGAGTACGCCTCCGCCTAGCTTCCACGAGAGCTCACGCTCCCTCGAGCGCGGGTACACCCACTGCATTATACCGATGGTGTAAAACGATGACGAAATGTAGACAATCTTGAATAGCAGATTCCATAGTATAGTTGTTCGAAAGATGTCGAGGTATCTGGTACAGAATACGAGGGCATACAGGACCTGCGTGATCAGGGAGACGCCTTCGGCGCTGCGGTTCGAATGTATTGCGAATATGAGAATACCCTTTGATGCGAGATGGGATAAATCTCCCAAGATTCGAAAAACCTGGCGTGCATCAATCGAACTGGTCAGTGCTTGCGAATGTGGAGGAGGGCATTGGGCAGGATGGTGGCGAGCTAGCTTACGTTCCAATTCACCATGGCTGCGGCTTCGAGCGAGGTGCTCGTCGAACTAGTCGGACTCAATCAGCAGGAAGAGGAGTGGAAACAGCGACGGGAGAGTTGCCCCGATAAAAGAAGAGCAGGCAAACTAGGGCGTAAGAACGTGTGAAGCAAGGCGACACGCAAGGTGTTGACGGTTTGCGGATGACTTGTCGTGTCGCAAAGCTATCGAAGTGATTCGCCTGTGGCTCCCGTGGGGATGAGGACACCTGAGCTCGGGTAGTGACAGTTGATTGGGCTGAGCTGGTTGAGTTGGTGGAGCTGCCTAGCCGAGAACGAAAGTACCCATAGTGAACGATTCCGGCGACAGTTGACATCTTGGCATCCTGACGTGGCTGGGAGCGCTTGAGCC